TCGTTAAGCCAGCCGTAACAAAGACAATATTCAACTGTTAGATGTTTGGATTAGCCTCAGATTAAAAAGATGCTGTGTCTCGGTTAGTCGAATTCGTTTCGTTAACAGTGCCATAACTCTTCCTTATGCGCTATTGGAACTTAACGCCCGGGACTTAACGTTAGCGAAGAAATCAAATTACTTGAGTTTAAAGAGTCTGTGCGGTCACGATATTAGCTATCTATTTAGGAAGCTAAAACATTTCTGGCATCAATAGAATTGAAATAATAATGGTTCATTTTTGTTATTTAAGACTATAATTAGGCATTGAAATTGTTTCCGTTCATCTCTTGCATAGGCTGGCAAGGATGAAAATGGATTGAAAGTTGACATTTTGGGGGCAAACTCTTTAAGTTTCAATGAAATGCAAAACCCAGCAAAAAATTGTTATATGGTTAATGCTCCCTTGTGAAATTTGTTTGAAATCTTCTTCATAACGGGAGCATTTTTTGTATGAATAGAGGCGTTAAGAAATGATTTCAGCTCATAGTTGACATAGTTGACCTACTGACGGCCATATATATCCTACCTGACAACCCAGGATTTCAGCCCGTTTTAATCTTCTTCAAGTTTGTCAATTCGCGTCTCCTTTCGTATCAACTGTACTATTTACACCCTAGTTTGATGTTTTGAGCTGTAAATTATTATTTTCACCCAATTTGCCGCAATTCGTACAATTTGAATTTTCGTGACAAAGCTCCTTTAAACCATGAGCGTCGTCTCAATAGAACTACTTCAGGAAAGGCCTCTAACTTTAGCATTAGCTAAGCATTTGCTTTAATGCGATTAAACATTAAGGACTCCTAATATATGGCTGACATTGGTTAGAGTTTCAACCAACAACAGGAACAATACCAGGTATATTTGTAAGCACTGGTCGTGATCAATAGTTATTGACCGGCCAATGTTCATCCACAGTGATAAAGCGGAAAAGTAAGTTTATTTCAGGTCTAGAATTGTACCACAGATCTTTGAAATCAAAAGTAGTATTCGTATTTTTAAGCCGAGTCTTGCGATGAGTATTTAATTTGTTTAGATTTTTGAGAGTGGATGAATTGACATAAAAGGCCCTACTGTTCTTGGGGAAGGAGTTTACTACGAAAAGAGAAAGATTACTTAAAAATGACAACTCTTTTAAATAGTTGTCCCTGGTCCGGTTGATTGTTTTGGAGACAAAAAATTCTCGCCAACAAACGCGCGGATGCATTCATTGCATCAGCTGTAGCTATTCAGTTACCTTCGTTTTCATGCAGTTTTCAGGCAAGATGAAGCGAATGTCCGCTTTTTGCCCGCAAGAAAAAAAGAATGACTGATTCCATAGGTATTGATCACGAAAGGTGGGCAGATATTGGCCTCGTGCTTTAACTTTTCGTATCCTGTCCATTATCAACACGGATTTATCCATGAACTGTTCACTTAATTGTTATAATATTCCTGGAGGTTTCATTGGATTGTAACCAAATTCCGTTTCTAGGTCAAACCAGTATGTTCAATTAGGTGGTATACGGATGAGAACAATTTTATCTACACTAGTTACTAAGGTACAAAAAAATAAAGAAATAAAGGAGAAATAAGAGAGAAATTACATAATTTAGGATTTGTGTGTTTGTGCACGTCTATCAAAACGTCCGAGGCCTCCCCCCTGAGGCAAGTGCGTCATCTAAAGGTTTTTTCCCTTCATTAGCGCGTCACAGTTGTAAAACATGTGTATGCATTGATCATGTGGTGAGACATGTACCTCAATAAACCAATTTGGATCATACGTACAGAGCCTATCAGATTTTGTTTGTAAAATGCTGAAGGACGCTAGAATTAAGTGAAATAGTAATCATTGTTCAAAAGTTGTTTTCGATATTCGAATATTAAGTTGTTTCCCTCAACCACAACAACCGCAGACTTGACCGAAAAAATTTGAAATTTGCTTGAGGGCTAAAAAAATTAACGAAACGTTCATTGAAACAGTGGTCTTCTTGTTTTTTCAGAATTAAAAATTGGTTGTTAACGTTGATGTTTTCTTTTTTACAGAATCTACCCTTTGAAGCTATTATTAAGGCATTTCATTGTATAGTAGTTGTTAATTAAACGATAGAATGGTTTTGGAATTTCGCAAAATGCATTTCCCGAAAAAATGGTACTGAGGTTTCGGCCCTTAATTTCTTTGTCAAGTACGACCGTTAAAAGTTTAATAATTGACTTTAATAAGAGCTCAGTAAAATGACGCAAATCAAAATGTCGTTTATAGAATAGAACTCCTGAAATGCCAGCTACTCTGAGGAAATGCCTTTCAAGAGGTTATATTTGATGTTTCTAGTAATCAAACTATTCAACAATCAACAGAATGAAAAGTTAACGCTAAAACGACGGCACCACAAATACTTGCCCCAAAAGTCGAACAGCGAAATCGAAGCGCGTTACGCGAAAATATTTGTGGGAAACCCGAAAATAAGGAAGAAAATGGGAAAATAGGAGCACTATGCTATCCCGTGAGCGAGTCAAGTGCAAGGTGAATGGCTTCATAACAACAATCAAGAATAAGCTTCAAGAAGTTCATTTTTTTCAATTGCTGACTCACTCTTAATGATAACACATTCAATATTTGTCGACAAAGGGAAGTTGTTTTAAAAAAGAAAACAACGCATAATGGTTTCTGAGGAAAGATTCATTTTCAGACATGAAAAGATATAAATCCAATGGTTGAGCGGTTTGTCAATGAAGCATGTGAATAAAAGATAGTACGCGCCATCAGCTTACCGAATAAAACAAAATCCTACCGGAGCTTCACAGGTTGCATAAGCAACAGAGATATTTCGAGTCACGTTTAAGGCAAATGGCAAAAGGCAAAAGTCAAATGCAAGTTGAGAAATTCTCAAAGTGGAAAGTGAGCAGAAAAAAGCTATCTAAAACAATCCTGAAACTACTAAAATTTGTGTAGAATTAATGAACTGGGAGACGACAAGTAAGGCGAAAACTTGGTCATGTGCGACAAATTCACGTTTGCTGTTTCCCGTAAACGTGTCTCTTAAGTTCTCTAATACAGTGAGGTTTTACGGCAGTTTTCTTTTCATCAGTTACTTCTACAACGCAGCGGTTTATTTTATCTTTCAAGTAACCAAGTTTTAATCGTTTAGGCATGCGGAATAAGTCTGCAGTTGTTGAACTATTAAGGCCAGTATTCATGATTGTCACACTGGGCTGTCACTGAACCAAAAAATGTATTTTACCAGAACCAAGACAGGAGTCAATCACTACTAATAGATAATAAGAGTTTTATGAACTGAAAGAAGGCGCCCCCCTAAAGTCTGTAACCCCTTATCTTTTCGTATGCCAGTTTAGACGAATAGGTGCCCCCTTTATATTACTAGTTAAGAACATTACTTCCCTTTTCTAAAACCCTTGGGATGTAGTTTATGGATAATATTATGAGAGAACATCAAGCATTACAGAAGAGATGTTAAACGCCCTTTGAACTATACTCGAACCACAAATTTCATTGTGCTTTTATGTACTTGGAAAAGAGAAATCCCTTTCCTTCTATATACTTGAAGCCCATAAAGGCTATCCTTTTCTGACAGAGCCTTTCCAAATCGGCTGATTATGGGGAGTGCGCCCCCGGATAAGGAAGAAAAGCCAAAAGCTGACGTTAACCAGTGGTAATTAATCCGTCAAGCATTGGGGAGAATTTTCTTGTCAAACTCTTTTAGACCATTTTAAAATTCACTTAATTCCATCGCAAATCTATCTCGTTCTCATAACGGGCTAGAGAGCTTCAGGCTTATTACTGAATGAGATAAATTCACAGGTTTATTCTAGCCCACAGGTGACCCAACCAATCGTAATATTTAACAACTGTTCCTTGAGCCCGAATGGGCTCTGAGTCCTATTCACTCAGAGGCCATGAGGGCGAGAGGAATAATCGTTTTAGTAAAATCCATCTAGTTGGTCAAAAATATTGAGACAAAACAACTTAAGCTAGCAAAACGTGATTCCGTTGGCATTGTTTTAGTTTTCAAAGTCGGCGCTTTTCGCTACTAGTGGGCTATAACATATAGCCTAGTAGTAGCTCAATCAATCAGAACTTAGCATTGATAATAGACCACTAGTTGGAGTTGGAGGCTCAGGGTGAATATCATAGAATATAGTATTTATGTAAAAGGGAGAAATTCTTCAATAACGTAGAATCATGCCGAATCTAGTATTGTTTTCTGTCCTTTGACTAGCCTGTTGCTTGTGTTCAGATAGTGAAGTGTGAGGCGAAATGGCTAGCGTTGGAAAGAAAGGGAAGAAAGGACGAGGAAGAGAGGGAAAGGGAAGGAGAAGGGAATTTAGGCGCGATACCGCGCGAGGGAGAAGGGAGGAGGGGAAAGCCTGGAAGATCTCGAAGGACGCCACTGTTTTCAAAAACTAGAACAGTAGAACAACCAGGCTCATTTGACAAAATTGTTATCATCATTTACCATCCCATAAATGTTCGGGAGAGTGGGCACAATCTTTCAAAGAGACGATTTCTGGATTGTTTTTGCGGACAAGCGTTGCCTTTGGATACCATAGAACAATCATAACCAAAACTTGTCCACCTAAACGATCCCACAAAGCACTGCGCCGAAAGCTTGTGCCCATTTTCCCTAAAGTTTATGGAGTAGGGAATGGTGCCTAGTTTTAAAGAGGCCTGTAATCCTTCAAACTGAGGCAAACATTTTCAATAGTCGAGTGTGATAAGGTTTACAACGAAATGTTAGCAGTTTTCGGAAGAGTTTCTTGAGGTTAAGTTTTTGAATTATATAATGTCAACCTTATTGAACCAGTATAATTTGCATTATAGCCGTGTTCAAATTTGCCTAATCGTCGATACTACTTCATACTCCAAAAAACACAGTCTATCTGGGTACTTTGTGATGGTATCAAAGGGAACAACTTTTTCAATTTAATTTCGAACAGAAAAGAAAGTTTACAAAAAGTCGATTGTCTTTTGCAGTATCAGAGTCTCTTAAGAATATCTTTTAATAGTGGAGAGCACTTTGTGGCTCTTTATGACGTTAAGTAAGGCATACTAACTTTGCAGGGGTTCTTCCATCTACTGATATGTTTAACGGCTTTATTTTAATTGAAGAGGATATGTGCAAGTGACTAGTACGCTTTTTATTGCGGTATCTAAACTAACTAAACTGTTACACTTCAAAAAGATAATTATTATTTATCTTTTTTGTGCCAACAAAAGGGTTAATTAACACTGCTCAGATGAATTCCAGTTTTGTATATTTAACTGCAAATATAAGGTGTTAAACTAGAAACCTTCCGCTTTTGATATTCATTATCTTCGGACCTGGCTAACTGCAAACTCTTGCCAATAAGACTACATTGTATTTGTTGAGTTCCTCAATTAATCACAGAAAATCTCCTATCCTATCAAGCATAACATTACAGAATTCAAACAAAAATGAGGTTTCTAGTCTTCAGCGGTAACAGTGAGTCGCTGGTAATCACGCACAGCTCCTCGCTTCCTACTGTTCCATGCGAAATAAGACACACCCATGATGCAAACGGCAGCAACCATAGCCATGGCAGCGACCAGGGTAGGAAACGTACCTGTAAGAGTACAATATTATACAGTTAATCGTTTGAACCCCGAATATAACTGATGTCACGAGTAGACACAGTGGAATAGGTGTTTTTAGTCCTGAATACAACGGATGATAAAGGTGAAGGACGTTGCGGCACCTAGATGGAAGTTGCTATCAAAGAACTTTTGTGACATTTTGGTGATGATTTTTGCACTTATCGTAAACTTACAACCCACCCCAGTTGTAGGCCTATTTACCTGTAAACAAAAAATACATTCTGTTATAAGGCCCCTGGATTTAGGCCCACCGGCGGCTTGTATTGAAATGAAATCAATCTTTTTGAAAAGCTAAAAAAGCAAGTAAATTTAAATACTATTTTGATAAGCACTAATTATGTAGCTTGTTTTGAAGCGCTTTTTTTTAGTCCGGTTATAGACCTCTCCGTTTATAAGCCCTCTTAATACCCCTTACAAAGTTGTATAAATCCAGAGCTTATAAGCAGAAGTTTACGGTAATGTTGAACTGCCTCATCAGTCGCTATCACGCAACGCTCCTCCCTACAAACATGACGTGACCAAACGTGACGACACCAACAACGCCTGCGGAGCAGACTTACAAATATTGTCGAATCGACGACGCCATTCGTAATATAGCAGTCCAATTGCCGTGATAAATGTCAAGGTGACCGTCGTGAAACGAACAACAGACATTGAATTCACGATTAATAAACTCACCACTTTTTTCTGTATCACTCATGTCTTTCACTGTTTCCTCTACTTTCGTTTCTTCTTCGTCATCTCCACGCATGAATGGTCCCTGAGACACGTGTACTTCCTCGTCCTTGGATACTTGAGTTGCCACGGCCCTCCTTTTTCGTTGAACGCAGCCCTGCGCACAACGTGAGTTAGGATCGGTTGCGTTACAAATTAAGACCTTACAGTGCAGGTAGACGAACTGATTGTCACCTATGAAACTGAAGGCCTCAAATTTGAATTTCTGCATACGCTTGTCCAATGTTCGAATGTCCATTACGGTATTATCTACTGCACATCTAAAACAGACAGAAAAACACATGAATCACAAGTTTTCTAAGGAAGCGTCACCCAAGTGCTTAGAGCACTGGACGTGTAATCAGGAGTTCCCGAGTTCAAGTTCCGACCTGGCCCTGGTTGTTCAAAAGATGGATAGCGCTATCTATCGGATAATTATTAGGGAAACCAATTGCGCTATCCAGTTGATAGTGATTTATCCGGTGGATAGCGCTATCCACCTTTCGAACAATTGGCGCCTGACCGCTAGCTAGATTTGTTCTGGATCGCCTCGAGTTCAAATCCTCAGCCGCGCTCGTAAATAGCCAACTGGCCGGCCTCCTACCAGTTGGAATTTGTAACCTTGATATTTGGGATTAATATACGTTTCTGGGCCGTACTGCCCACCTACCCCTCCCCTAAGCCAACATTAACACCTCCTTCTCACTTAGGGCAAAATGTTGGCTTAGCGGAGGGTCAGGTGGGCAGTTTAATTGCCATCGAAATTAAAGTGGTTGCGTTTGCTGCTCAAGAGAAGCAAACTGGGACGAGTTAACTTTCGCTAAGACTTGTCGGCCAATAGCTGACCGGCACGTCCTCAGCAACGACCCCAGAAACAATTGGGGACGCTCGCTCACTTTCTCGTCACATACAAGTTGAAGTTATATACATCAAGATGAAAATATGATTACCCATCCTTAATGAGGTCGTATCTCAATCCCCTGCTGAAAGGGTTAGGGTCCGGTGTAGCCCAGCAATCTACTGCCAGGACGCGAAGCCTCTCGTCTTCCGTGTCAACGCTGACTTTCACATACAGTATCTTCCTCAGCGGTACCACAATCGGGAAGTCCTTTTTCTTGTACGGGAGTTCGAATCTAGGAGTAGGAAAAATATCCAGTGCCAATACGAATTTTCCAAATCCTTTCTCCGAAAAGACGATTTTCTTGCTTTTGACTTGAAGGCCGACGGCGGATACGACTCCCATGTTTGAGTAGTAACAGGCGAAGGGGATTTCCACTTCCCGAATTCGTGTGATGATCTGACCTGGCTTGATGGGAATCTCCTCCACCTTGTTCATGTAGCAGACAAAGCCCTTAGTGTGTCGTTTGACTGTGTCACATCCAGTGAGATTTGTGCTAAGAATGAAGTGAGTACTGGTTTCCGTGGCTCCGCAGCTCAAATCACGGAGGCGAAGATGCTCTCTGTCCAATCCCTTAAGAAGAGACTTTGGAAGGCTGATCGACATTTCGTTCTGTTCACAGGTGACATTGACCGCTACAAAGATCAGTTTATGGGTTAGAAGGGAAAACTAAATCGAATTTATAATAAATTCAGATATAACGCTCACTCTGATTGGCTTAAAACACGTGCTTTATGAGAGTATCAAACACGGAGCTAAGGCTGTCACGCCATCTGTCAATAGTATGTTTTTCTGTGCTGATTTACGCATAATAATAGTAAAAATAGTAATAATAATAATAATAATAACAACAACAACGGTTGTTTCTAAACGTCGCCATTTCCATTGCTGTTCAATGGCGCTTTACAACAAACAAAGAAGCCTTGACTGTGCCCTGTTTTGTTGTGAAGCAGTTTGGAAGCGGTTTTTTGGAGCAGTCGACAGGAAGTTGCGGGAAGAAACACGCGACTATGTGTCGTGTTCTCTCCTACACTTCTTTCGCGCCCTAGCCACTTCGTGTGTGGTTTACTATAGAACAGAGCACATTCAAGGCTTCTTTATTTGTTCAATAAGAAAGGTTACTTGAAAAGGGTTTCGCGTTCAGAAACAGTAAAACAAGCCGTCTTGACAGAAGGTGGTGTTAATCGAAAAAGCAAACGGCTTTCTTAGTTGTGAGTTTGATTTTGGTCACTTTATAATACTTCGTGCAACATTTTGACATAATAAATAAAGAAAAATGTTTAATTTCAAACCCAATTACATTTAGTTAGCAAGCCTCAAACTTCATCATCTCTTTTATTTATTTCACAAAGTACGCTCTCGACGATGCCGATACTAGCAGTTTGCAGAACATATGTTCAACATACAACGGTAGTATATGACCTTGCTCCTAAGAGCCTCTGCTTAAGTTCATGGTCAGTGGATAGAGCACAGGCTCAATTATATAATACCTGATTCAATAAAGATTGCTTTGTGCATTGGACAACTATGCACTGGTCGTCACTCAAGTAAAACATAGCAGTCAGTGAGTTCTGAATGCCCAAACGCCCAGCAACCCTCGATGACCAAGTTTGATGGATCAAGGCGGCTCGTTCTTTTTTTGCGTTTTCATTGACCTCAACAACTTCGTCAAGGTTAATAAAAACGCAGAAATCTAGGCCAATATTCAGTCGTGTTGAAGCCTCACACTTGGTCAATAATTATGCAATGCCATATTTTTTTGTCCCTCGACCGTGAAACGCTGACTATCGCATTAATCATAACTGCAACAAAAGTTTCAACGATGATTGGCTATCAACTTTCCTGAATTCAGCACTAATAGGACTGTACGCGTGATGCCAAAGTAATTGGACAGTACGCGCCATCGCACATGCGCACTTGAATGACTATTTTTCACTGCCACCAAAAAAGAAACCGAAACTTCTTGATTTTTAAGCTAAGAAAACCTAAAATATTACAAATTTTGTTCTCGTTCAATTCGGTCTGTAGTCATACCCGAGATAAGTTGCGGTATTTTGATTATTAGAACTTTTTTTTTTTATTTCATGAATTTTTTAGATTGATGTGTATCCAGACTCTGAGCTGTTATTAAAAGTGGTTAGGTCAAGAATAAAAGACTTATCTCAGATTAAACAAATCGGACTTGCGCGTAATAACTCGTATGATTAGAGATCCAATTGAACACTCAGTCCTATTACCATTATTTATTCACAACGTAAGGACATGTGTATCTCCTAAAAAAAACGAGTTTAACCTTAAGAAGAAGAAAAAGGAAGATAATTAAAGGTATAAAAGGAATTGCACATACCTGGAGGTGTTTTTTTAACTGCATGGAAAAAGAGTCAGAGAGAGAGATAATAAGTTTTTGTTCATTTCATCAAGGTTTAAAGTATGATCCTTTGACAACACATAGATTGTACTGATTATGCATTATATATTTGTATACAATATTTGCTCCTCGTTTGAAGTGTGGCAATTTCAACTTTTAATTTTCAGGATCTGAAAAATCACCGACAGACGACCATGAAATCAACAGTACTTTGAATGAAAAGCAAACAAACAAACAACAGAAGCAAAAAAGCAAAAAAACTAGTTACAACAGAGAATTTAAGCAAGTTTAATTCTCAGGCTTTATAATTAAAGGCTTAAGTTCAGAGAACGAATAATAGTGCACTCTTGTAAAACTCAATAAGGGAATTAGAGACCTTAATTGTTGTTTTTATAATAGGGAGTTTACGCAAGAGGTGTTGAGCGACGCATGCGCACGTCAACAGGAAGTGAGTCCTTCTCCCTTTTAATTTGTCTTGACGCTAAAAAAATTGTATTGCTAACCGGAAGTGCCTTTACGCTTATAAAGACAATTTGAGCTAAATTGCTCAAACATGTGGGTAGAACCACACTGCCCAGTGGAGCCGGGGTTGGTTGGACTCAACAAATTTTATACCGGGACGCTCCGCCCTAAGGTCAAACCCCTTACCCTTTTATATACCATTTTTCACGAAAAAGGTAGCCCTTTTGTATACTTTCTATTGACAAATGTCTCGCTTTCACATACCTTGTTTAGAAGTTTGCACCCCTTTTAACTGCACTGTCTTTTAAAAAAGGAATCAAGCACAACAATAGAACGTTTTCTCGACTTTACAAAGCCATAAAATTCATTTATTAGCCCTTTTGGGCCCTTTCACAGACCCAGATGTCAGATTTCCCTACCCTCTACCTCAACTAGTGAAATCTCTACCCTTTCATATACCTGAAGCCTGAAAAAGATACCCATTTCGGGCGGAGCCTCCCGTACAGGCCATCATAGAGAGGACCCCCTGCCCCGGGACGACTGCCCAGGAATGCAAAAAGTCCACTTTCGGTTGACGTGCGTCGCTCTAAAAGTCTTAGCTTAATATCCCTAATGATCGATAACACTTACCTCGTGTCCAGACATGTACAGGGTAGGCCAGATCACGTTTGTTGGTGTAAGGTCTGATCAATTCTGGTCTCGTACACCAGTAACAGTTCCAGTTATAAGCAAACCACATTTCAATCGCATGGCATCCTCGTGTTTTGTTACATTCGCTGGCACACTGCGCGAAGGTTTGTCGTACACCTTTCCTTCCGCTCAAAAATTTTCGCCCTTTAATTGTACACCAGCTATGGCGATGTTTTTTCCATACTAGAAATGGGGTAATATATGGTTAACAGCATGGTTATATAGCATTGTAAATGTATCCTGGGACTATTTCAAACACTTTTTCATATAGTTAAGTAACTTTTACAAGTACCTATAACTGCTTAAGTAACACTATATTTTAATTACAGTGAAAACTCGATTCAACTTTCCTCAATAAAAGGAAGTTCTTGGTAGATCGAATCATAACATTCGTCCCAGTAATAGTAAAATATACCGATGAGGGGCCCTAAGTGGAACCCGTGAAATGTGATTGGTTCCAATGTAAGTAAAATGCAGATGAAGCCACTTTATGTCTCATACTGAACATTTTTTATCAGTCAAAATATTTTGTTCGTGTGCAAAGTTGTTTAATAGACCCTTTCACGGTTTCTTTCTCCTTTTTAGAGGGACAATTCAAGTTACCATCAACACGGCTAGAAAGAACGCCTTAAAATCTGTAAAGTTCCTCTCCTTTGTGGAATTTTGCAGACCGCGTTAACATTGTGGAGGCTCATTTCGCGCTCCCACCAAACAAACTTCCTTAAAACTACACGACTTTGTGGAGCAACATTTTCGCTTACTTAGGACGTATCACCTTATACTTGGTAAATTTAATAATTTTAAGGAGCTCTTTCGAGCAGTGGAGATGGATATTCGCTTAATGATCTTTATCTGAAGTTGAAAGAAGGGCGTATTGTGAGTATCGACACCACATGAGGGGAATGTACATTGCTCTGATTATCGTTTTGTCTGCCCAAGACATCCCTTGACGGTCCAAACTATGCCAGCATAATTTTCAGCGTAACATTGTTTTTTTTTTTACCGTAGGATTTCCATTTAAGACAGCAGGAACACTTGGACTACGTTAAGACCACGCCCGGTTGAAAATTGGCAAAAACACGGCGTTCTGAATTTACAGATGAGTCATTTAAATCAAGCGAGAAAAATCATGTAAAATAGTGTAACCACCACCTGCGTAATACGGCTGGGCCAAGAGAGTATAAAGCTCTTGGCGCCAATCTCGGCTGGGCTTCTGTGAATTGATGTGTATGGACTCTGTATTCAAACCGTGCTGAGCTTCTGTGTGAATATCATATATTCAGAAGCTGCAGAAACAGCAACATTGACAACGAAAAAAGAAAACAACATGAACCGGACATGAACCGGACCGATCATCTTACACTGTAGTTGTAGCGGAGCTGCACGCGCGCGTTCCGCGGGCGGAACCCCATAGCTAAGTAAATCTACCCATCCCAGAAAATTTGGTAATCACGTGACCGTGCACCGACCGACCGACCGACCGCCCGCCCGAGAGACCGTCCGTCCGCACCACGGGGAAACCAATATTTACTTTCACACTTGCTAACTTCTTTGGGAGCCCAGGAGAAATCTGATTGCACATCAATGTTGTGATCGATTGACAGCAGTCAAAACAGAGTATCCGTTAACCAGTATCACCTGACTGTATCGCGGGCTCAGGGGTCGACCCATCGAGGTTGAGTACTTTTTTGAAGTTATCCGCTGACAAGTTACTAGTTTTCAAATGAACGCAGGCTCAAGTTTATTTTTTTAAAAAAATTCAAATGAAATATGTTGTGTTTGTGTCACTATGGCCCCGCACTATTAAGTTTTTTATTTCAAACTAATCTCGGACGTGAAAATTGAGCCAGTTATTTAGAAATACAGGCGGGGAAGACCTTTTCTTAACAAGGTCACGCGTTTGTCACGCTCTACGTCCAATTTTAATGTTCTGATTGGTCAAAATTTGACAGGTGAGTTTATGCGGAAAATTTATGCAGCATCTGGAAACTTATTTACTTTGACAGCTGAAGCTGACAGAGTTTTGTGTGAACTTGTTATGTTTTTAACTGTCTTAATTTTTTCCACTGGATGTACAAAATGAAATACAGCTGCTATCAAGAGTCTTCTGTTATTCATGGTTAGTTTGTTTATCGGTTTTTTGGTAGAGAGATTCGTCGCTAGTCAAAGTCCGAAATTCGATTTTGGATGGCAACGTTTTCGTTTTTCACCTTGCTGAGTAGTAGTAGTAGTAGTAGTAGTAGTAGTAGTAGTAGTAGTAGTAGTAGTAGTAGCAGCAGCAGCAGCAGCAGCAGCAGCAGCAGCAGCAGCAGCAGCAGCAGCAGCAGCAGCAGCAGCAGTAGTAGTAGTAGTAGTAGTAGTAGTAGTAGTAGTAGTAGTAGTAGTAGTAGTACCTCTTCTTGTAAAAACAAATGTCATTACGGAAATTTAGATAAACGTCAAGGTCTGAATCGAAACCTTATGCGCAACTCAGAGCGGAATGAGATAGGTAAGGTGAAGTATTGTAAACAAAAAAAGAAATGGAAAAACGATTTAGTTTTTGTTTTACCCCAAGGTCCGGAATCTTCGGAAGGTTCGTCCATTTCATCTTCAGATGAACCAGATGTTACTCCATCAACAATGACTGTAGATTCTTCTTCAAAATCTTCTGATTTAAGGTCCTCGCCATTGACAAGATTCTTTTTATCTTGGTAAAGAAAATGAATAGGTGACATTTCTGTCACATTTAATTCATGGCAGTATTTGATTAATTAGTTTATGAATCGATTAAGGATGTGAAGAAAAACAGTGAGCCACAAAGACAATTGCTCATGGACTATCAGATTTCACACGCATCGTTCAGAACAAAAATTTCAGAACAATACAATGCAATTCAATACAGCACAGCACTCTACAGGAAAATACGGTAAATGCAATACAACGCTATTTACAGTCCTTTAAATTTTTGCAACAATTATTCTTGAGGCCAGGATTCAAAACTATGCATGCACTTTCTTTCTTTGGCATTTTAACAGCGTCCTGGTAGAATCCTGTGTACTTGTTCCACACTGGTTATGGAGGATTTGAGTGCATGATTTTTTAGTCTGTATGCACCTATACATGAGTATACTCAAACTTACATCAATGCAAGTAGTGGTTCTACCCTGGTACAAGTAGTAACTCACTATATCACGTCAACCAGAAAATATTCAGAGCCTTGACTGTGTAAACTGTTCCTTAAAGGAGCTATATGTCAAGCTATTTGCTGTCTTTTTAAAAAGCTAAAACACGTTTTCAAATCAATTGAATTCCAGACATATTCCTGCCGTCCTTTAGAGGTCAAGGATGGGCATCGAAAAAATTGGGCCACTTTTTTCAAGTTTAAATAAGCGCTATCCTGAAAGCATCACCATTGTTAAAGCTCCCCATGAAATTGTTTGATACCCTCTTCATAACTCTCTACAGGAGTATTATTAATCTGTGTATGGGTAAAGGCATTATTAAGTAATGACTTAGGCGCAGAATTGACTTAAAACAGCTTTTTGCCTTATGACATAGCCCCTTTAACCCTTTCACTGTCAAATTTAGCCAAAAGAAAATTTTCGACCAAATTTCCAAATTTCATTTTGTGAAATTTTGAAAAACAAATAGTACCGCATGTATATAAGTACAGGCAGAGAGCTTTCATTTGAATGGTCACATCATAGGATTTGCTCTGCAGACTCAAATGTTAGAACTTTATACTAAACAAATAGCACCATGTGTAAGTACAGGCAGAGAGCTTTCACATCACAGGATTTTGTCCACATACTCAAAAGTTAGAGTCACCTTACAAAAGTTCATCAAGCACTCTGGCAATGAAAGGGTTAAACCACTCTATGATGTTTTCGACATACAGTGCAATATTGGCTCTTTGAACTTACCATTTCTCTTTGCTGGAGCGTCCTCGTCACCAAAAGTTTTAGCAATTGGCTCCTCATTTCCTTTTTCTTCCAACAGCTCATCTTCCTGCGTCTTAGTATCTTTTGCTGGATATATGAAAAAAAATTAATATTTAGATATTGGGCTCATGCAGCCAAAGCCTGCTGCTCTTTCTTTTAAGTGTTATTGGAGTGTTAACGCATGAGATGAATACTATTTTTGAGGCTCATGCCTTTGACCTAGGAAATAATGAATCTATAATTTCTTTACTATATTTCTAATCTTTGAAAAAGTTTGAATCAAATTCTTTGATTGGAGGTGGAATTAATTCTTAAATTTGCAAAATTGCCTGGTTAGTTTCTTTATATAATTTAATCAGTTTGTGTTAAATCTGTTATTTAGTTTTGCAGTCTAATTTTGCTAAAATCAGCGACGGAATAATGTTATTTCTGTTATTGTTATGTACGTCATTACAATGATTAGCAATAACTTTTTTACCACAAAAAATTCTTCAGCAGTTTTGCAGCTCTTACTGAAAAACAACATTTTGCGAAGAGCAAACCGTTTTCAGTGTTTAGCGATGTAAAGACAGTAGCCGAAAATAGAGCATTTAGTTAAGCACCACGTTTACGCGGCGGCTAACAGCAGATGACAACATTTACTTTTTTCTCGTCATTTCTCACGTTTGTCGCGATCGTTTTAAAGGTAAAGAAGTTGGCTTTCTCGTTCATAAAAAAAGTTTTATAACTGGCTGCTCGTTTGCCTCATGAGTATTAAAAACTCAGTATGCTGAATGGTGTTAGATTTCATGTTGCACTTGACTGAAATGGAAGTCGAGTTGATCGCATTTCAGATCACGGAAAGCCGAGTTTCTACTATAAAAAAGTATTCTTCACCTGTGCTCACTGACAAAGAGCTCTGAGTTTTCAGTCCATTTGGGGTAGCACAAGACCGTCTCTGGATGATTACCGGTGTCAAACAGCAAACCGAGGAGAGCCGTTTGCAGTATTAAAAAGAGTATTTAACCTCCCTATTATGAAAAACTTGGCCACCGGAAGGAAGGCGATAAATTACTATATAGTAGTCATCAACACAAGGGCCCGGTACCTTGAAAGATGGTCATGTTTACCCTAAGATTAAGCCAAATTTTAAATACGGTTTTCTTGTCTAAGAACATATAACTCAAGCTTGCAAAACACTGGAGAGCCTTTACTCTGAGATACAGTAATGAAAACACAAAATCTTACTCTAAGCAATGTATAGCAAGGTAAATACAAAAAGTAGAACAAATTTTACTGATCCTGGATTAGCGCGAATCGGCCTTTAGGATTATTCTCGGATCATAACTGTTGCGGTCTTTTCTTCGTGCTATAACATAATGGTATACGATTCTTACTGACCTGGTGCATCTCTCGGGACCGGTTTTCCATCAATAGTTACAGTGGGATCTTGAACAAAACAACAATCAGTTATAAGTAGACAACTTAATTGTAAGGTAGTTACTATTATCTTGCATGCTAAGTATTAATCATCTCCGCACCGACCCTCGTACGTTCTATGTTTTTTTGTGTACTTTCCTCTTTCCTCTCTCTTATATATTTAATACTTTATACACCTCTCTTTTTTTCTCTTGTATCCTAAATGAAACTGTAATTTAATCAAAGGGCATGTGATTAGTTTCACTGATATCTTGCCCTTCTCCATTTATTCTTTTAATCCGATTTTTAAATCTTAAGAATAATATTATTCAAATCTGTAATATAATATGAATGACCTGTAATATAAAATAAATGGAGAAAATATTTTTAAAAAATTGTAAGGTGAAGTCTGTAGTTTGATTTAAATTTCTGGATTAATATCAAGGACGTGACAACTTAAAAATTTGGCGCAAGTTTGCTATGGCAACGTTTAAAGATGGCGTTTACGATGTTGTGAATGAAGATCAGGGCATTAAAACATGCTTTGAAAAACCTAAACGCACCAAAAAAAAAGAAGAAGAAAGATTCTAAGAGGTGTTCCTCCATGATTTTCTTCTGCGGGCAGCTTTTCATTGACCAAACGATGTTTTTTGCAATCTAGAAATTGGCTAGAAATAAGTATGTGTAATAAAATGGTAAACTTAACTTGTGAAATTCTAATAATTTCTACAAGACGCGCGTAAAAATGTTCCCTAATTTCACTCGTCACCATTTGATTACACATACTAATTTCTAGCTAATTATAATTTCTAGACGAAAATCATGGAGCCATAGTCGGCTTTAACCATAATTCCACACTTCCACAAAGTCGCTGGAAGTCTGCCTCAGGTCCGCCTATTTGACGGTGCCAGACTGATATTTAAATTTTGCAAGCCTTACATCGTGAATGTTCATCAATTTTTCGGAAGGAATAATGGCATAAGGGCGCCCATTTTTTTCAGCATAAAGACAATAATGATACTTAGAAAATGTTAATAATATTTCCATATCTGTACTGAGACGTTTTGACTTCCAAGTGTTTTTAGTGAGCTTGTTGCACCGTTGCATCATTTTGTTAGGCTGTTAAACGGCTTGGAAACTAAAATTTGATAGCATTTTGTTTTGAATAAGGGTATGGGCATGATTTTCATTTGAACATGCCTAGCGAGCGTAAAAATCGCATCCAGTCTGAGGATTAATGAGAGAGGGAAAATTTTATATATTTAGGCATGACAAAATTCAAGGGAACATTGGTACTTAGAAATAACATCTCATAGGCATGGAAAAAATGGGTTCATGCCCTCGCAGCCCAAAATTGACCCAGCCAACCTTAGGTCCCAGATCTCTCGCCGGGTTGATAATTCATTCCCAGTTTTTGCTCCTCTGGTTTGGCATGCCGGGCATGCCGATGGTGAAGCCACTTGGTTTGGCATGCCCGGCATGCCAGGCAAGTAATTGGCATGCCCAGCGAGACTGATTTTGATTTTCGCTTCAGCATCATATCCTGAGAATCACATATAGTCGCCAAATATATCTTAGGGAGCTTGAAGTTACAGCTTTCAAGCCTGGCAATAAATGCAGATTATAACAAAAAAGACATGTTTGTCACAATGTGTGTCACGGGATCGACTGGCAAAACTGAAGACAGAAGCCTGGATTTATAAATAAAAAGCACAACAAAACAACATTATTCATGCATAAAATAGAATACTTAACTTGCAATCAAAGATCAATCCTTTTATTTCAAACCGATACTGACATTTCTGGGTCCAGATTTAAATTTGATCGGGGAAAAGCGTCTTAAACAATAAGATAACAAATCTTCTCAGTATGAACTTATCCATGCTTAAGTTTTATGGCGTCGGAATGTTTCCCGGCCGACAGCATTAAAAGACTGGTGAAAATTTTACTTACCAGGTCTTTCAAGTCAGTACGAGAGTACAACGTTAATACTGCAAAGACGTTCTGAGTTGGTGAATTTGGACTGCCTTCTCAGAGAGATTTTGCTTAGTTTTTCAGTGCGCTCCTTGTCGGCTATGCGAAACTCGCAAACTGTTTTACTCCTTGCTGACGATAGTCCTTTGAGCAACGTCATCTGCGTCATCCGAAGATACCCCGAGCACGCACGAAATCGGCCGAATTTCCGCAGAAGTGTTTTCGGAAGACGATGAATCTAGTTTGTTGTAGCGTAGCAGTTGTGGCGTCACGATGTCGTCATGTCTCTTCGCACTTGTTTGTCTTTTTTTTTTTCTGCGGTGCATGGTTGAGATGTTGGTGAATGCTGAACAAGAAATGGACTCTGCGAGAGACTGTAAGTACAAATTTAGTATTAATTTGGTAAACAAAAAGCCTGAATATTGAACAAATCCCGTGAATTAGCCTTTAGGCATTCAGTTTATCTTGCGGTTGAGCATGCCTAAGAACTCCGGCATAAGTGGTTGTCATCTCGTTCACTTCGGATTGTTTCTGTTTGTATGTCTTGTAATCTTCTTCTGCTGCTAAGAATACTAGAGAAAACTTCAATAATAAGAAACCGAAGCTAAAAAAGTCAGATCTAATTTTATAGCTCGAGTATAATTATTTTTGGCACCTACGGTCATATTTTTTTTTCACTGTACTGGTAAAGTTACTTATTTTTGCTGCATAGTTTGACTGTTGTTTGAAAGACAATCAAACGGATATTACAATCACTTTTGGAGACAAAATAAAATATCCGTAAATCAAATGCCAAAATCAGATTTGGATTTCGCTTTAAAAAAAATGAACATGCCGCGTGTGTCAATGCAAAGTTGTAAACAACTCAATATAAGCAGTCTGTGAATGTGCGTTTAGGTCCACAAAACTAATTTTTCTTTTGGACATCTCATCCAAGCAAAGACTTAAGGCTTACATTGCTTGTCTACGAGTGTACTACAAAATGCTTTGCTACAGTAAGCCTCTGAGAGGCGATTCTGGTAAATTTATAGGACGCTAAAATGCAAATAATTCTAAACAACCTGGCTGGGTCCGACTTTTGAATTACAAAATGTTCACGTTTGCCGGCTCTACTTTCAATGAACATGGTTTTTGAAATGATTTTGTACTATTTTATGATTAAATTATGATTGGGTTATAAAGCTTTTAAAACGGACGAAAACTAAGCTAATAAACATGTTCAATGTAAAAAACTAAGATTTAGTCGCTTTTTCAACTTTGCTTTGTGGGCCGAAAAATTTACCTTTAAGCAAAAACAAAAGCAAACAATGAGGCTTTTATTCGACATATTTTCTGAGAATTTTATCTGATCAATTTAATGTCACTAGCATTATTTTCGTATAGGAATTTTCCTAATTATGTGAGCTTTTAATTTAATAGTTTTGATACTCTATAAACTTCTCATTTGATAGCGCCACTTTTTTATACACCGATTGAGAAACAAATTCGCACTCGTTAAATCCTGTTTTATGACCTATTTATTAGAACACTAGGTAACATACGAAATGGTGTAACCGGACAGGCTTTAACCTTCGGTCCTAATTTATTTTTTCTTCGCAACCCCTAATCAGTTGACGGGCCGTGAGAGAATATCGCCACAAAAAGATACGAAAAAGTTTTCGCTGAGTTTCCTTTACATATTCCGGCTTTATATGGGTCAACACCTTACCTGCTTAAAAATGAAACTGTTGTTTAATTAAGTGTCAGTCAAACTCGGTATAATCTTGACTTGCAAATCCAAATGCAAAGGTTTATTTCGCAGTAGAAAAGCGTGTAAACATCATCGAACAGCGCAATGTAAATTGGCTAATGTGAAACCACGTTTCTTTCAGTTTATTTACCATGCATTTATCTCAATTGCACACTCTCGTGAAATTAGCCTCAGACAATTAGTTGCGACCTTTAACAGACTCAACAAGCCAGTATGAAAATATGTTAAGAGAAGCTGAGTCTACATGTTCTATTTCTTTATTCATATTGCCCTTGCATGTTTTAACATTCCATTTCTTTTTTGTTACAGGTAACTTCCAGACATGACGAGGAGATAATTACTTTTCTAGAGAGCAATTCTTTGATACTGTCAGTTATTACTGACTTACTTTGAGTTAAAAACAAAGAACACAGACACTGGTAATGACACAAAAACATTAATCCCTGGCAAGCCTACAAAACAAGAAAGAGAAACTCAGACTTTCTAACAGCTTTTCTAACGTAGAGAAAATTGCGTTAGAGAGATTTGTAATTACAACGTTATATTCAAACACATTGCATTGTCAAACATCATAATTTACTGAATAATGAACAATGATTTTGGGGCTTAGCTCAGTTTGTAATGAACTTTGAAAGATATTCTATAACCTTGTATTTTTAAAAGCTTTCATGGAACACAGATGCATTTTATTATACAATGAAAATAGTCTCTGTCTCTCTTTTTACTGATTTCAGTCAATTCCATTTTATTCGCAATGTGAAATGGGAATCCTATTAAAGACTCATTAAAAGGGGTGAGGAGTTTTTACAATCCCCCAACGGTTCATCTCCACGATGACGCTGTTTTATTACTACGGACGAATCCCTCAGGGTTTTACTTGCTCGTGAAAATTAGAGCTTTTGTTATTTAAAGTTCTCTGGGACAACCAAATCTATGAAAATGAAAGGAATAGCAATGACGTCATCGTGTAACCGTACATCAAAAGATAAGCACTGTGATCTGTTTAGTTTTCTTTTTGTTTTTAGCCAGGCTTAAAATATCTGTAGATTCAAGGAATTATAACCTGTGCGTTGAGAGCATGCCAGAGACCAATTTTGGCATGCCCGGCATGACCCAGATTATGGCACGCCCGGCATTCCAGAGAATTTAGCATGCCGGGCATGTCAGAAAATTTGGCATGCCCGGCATGCCGGAGATTTTGCTGGGTATGAATTACTTATTACTAGAACCTAGGCTTCTCGCGGCCTGGGTGAGAAGGTCACAGAACCTCAAATTATGCTTACAGGGCATGCGAAATTCTGTTGCATGCCAATTTCAATGCAAAACCACTCTGGGGCCACCCCCTCCATTACCAGTGAGCAAATCATTGACGATAGGCATGCGAAAAATCCTTGCATGCTAACCAACAATGAAAACATAGCAGAAATGTCCTCAGTTGCTGAGTCATGCCCTAGGGGAGGCTTTAAAATACAGAATTTCCTGACATGGATGAGGGAATTTTCCGTAAACAGCATGTGATCATGCCGGCTAGGACGTATTGCCTCCGTATTGCCCCTTTTTACAGCTAGCTAGGCTCATTTTTAGGTTCCATGGCCTGAAATGACGAAAAATTCATGCCCTAAATGTAAAAAGTCCAAAAACGTCCTCGAAATTTTAGTTTCCAAGCCGTTTGTTAGGACTGCCCAATTGGCCATCCATCATAGCTGCCAGTTCGAAATTTGTAACCGATGCGATAAAATGTATTCATATCTGCGTGGATGGAAAAGGGAACCAAATACAGCCAAGATCAGTCGAGCATAAGGCTTAACTTTTCGGGCATAATTTTAGGCAAGCATAATGCTGTTGTTTTGAGGGTGACGCTCAAAAGTATAATGCTCAATTTTTTTAGCATAATGTATCTAACTCTATCCCTGAACCTTAGTGTGAATATTTCTATTGTTTTATTTAAGTTTAAATCCTTGGAGCCAAGATTTTTAAAATATCGAAATGGGCCAGTTCTAGGAGCTAAAAGTTTTTTTTAAAACCAAGGTCATTACTTTTTGTTTAGAGTAAGACAATAAGAGTTCTTACTAAAGCGTTTAATTGGCAGTTAGCTCCCTCGGGGCACAAAATATTCCTCTTAGCTTTTTGCCGACTGAAATAAACAGTGAAAAAGCAGTAATAATCTTAAGTTTATCCTAGAAAGCATATGTCCTTTTACAACGCTGAAATATTCACGCCAGTTGGTATGAATTTTAACAGCCTACTCCGGAACTTGGCCGACCAGTTACAGAAAAAAACGAACAAATTCAGTTGCGGAGGTAAAAAAGCCACAACTGTTAGAGTGGGGAGAGAAGGGTCTCGCTTGTCTTGTTGGGCCTTACGTTCTATAAGAGAGTTAGTAGTACTCTGCATTTTGATGCACCTTGCTCTGCTACCTCGGTACTAATTTGTTTTCCCTTGTTACGCTGCGGAAAGCAGGTCTGACTTTTACTGATTTAGAATTCAGTACAATAGAATCTTTAATTTTAAAGGGAAAGTTACTGAGCAGATCTTTAGTTAGAACTTCTTGTGTATTATCACTGAGAACTTAGGCTTTTGACAAAATCCTTGAGTATGAGTATTTAAGTTAGCATCAATGAACTGAGCTTTGAGCAATACTTTTATGTCAAAGGCCGTCTACTCTTTTGTTAAATGGGGCTTAGCAAAGTAAGAATGTACGTAAAATTCTAAAAATTACTGACAGTAGTCGTTATTTTTTCTTCCTTTATTCTTTTTTCACAATTATCAAAATAGAAAATTGAATTTTAGCTTTCCGTGCCATCTTACAGCACACCAATAAAAACTTCGCATCGGTTCCTTTTGGCACGACTGATTTGTTATTTTTAAACGCAAATGGAACATCTGATCATACGAGGGAGTAAAGGGATAACTTGCAGTCTCGATTGTGTGACGGTGGAAAAGTTTGTATGAATTCGATCGCACTGGATAAAGAGTTTTTAAGCTTTGTAATCATAATCTATTACTTTATCGAAGGCCACTGACTGTCGCTGTCATCAAGCATATAGCGTCCTACGTGCGTTAAACTTGCTGTGCCTAACTGAATCTTTTCTCTCAAAGCGGAACTTCTAGACCCCTCAGGCATGCTATTAAACATAACTCTTATGGGGCCATTGTATGTCAAAGCGGAAAAAATGCTCATTGGTTAAACCTTATCGCCATCCTGCAATTACCAAAGACGCAACTACAATTAGTAAGTTAATTAGTAATCTTTATTTCGTGGCTTTCAGCTCGGATTACTTTGAACAAAAAAAGGTACTAATTCTAGAAGGTTGTAAGTGACTATAACAAGGGTAAAACACAACTGTCTTGAATAACGACTTGTTTGTGACGTTTTCAAAGAACTTTCCGCGTCACTTTCAAGATGGAAGTCAGAATATTGATGATGGATTAATTTCTTTGATGCACGGCTTTAATTCAGTTTGCCGGATTCAAACGCCGAACATTAAATTTAATGTCCCAGATACTGAGTAATCTTAACGCATTTGGAAATTTTGCTATCTTTTTGCCTGCAATCCATGTTTGAGTATGTTCTACTGTTCACATTGGCTTGCTGAATCAACAGCTTTACTTGTGTAAATTTAGGTTGACCAGAAGGCAAAATTCCGCGTCTTGAACGGACTCTGCATGATTATAATCTGTATTTCCTCAGATCTCTTCGTGATGGCAAGGGATACGATACGACAAGATACTTTATTTAAAGTGGAGTTTACGCATAGCTTAATTAGCTACAATAGTTTACAGGTACGCAATCCATGACCCTAGTATATTCTAAAAATTAAAAACTAAAAATGTACAATAATTCATCATATGAAAACTCTAAAAGCTATAAGAACTAAGAATCGATTAGAACAATAAAAGCAACAGTGAAGGATCAAAGGGAAGGTCAGGGGGTCCATATCCCCCTTCTCCTTTAGATTCATTAAAAGACCGGAGAGCTTTTAATCGAAGATACATGCTTAAAACTGAAATAATTTCTACACTCCGAAAAGTCGCAGGCAACTTTCCGCTTGAAAACGTGCTTTGTAAAAAAACTTTGCCTTTCAACCGTGGAATACGTTATTAAATCATGGGCTAAATAAAATTGACGAAGTCTGCTCAGAATTCATCACTGAAAATTAAAGACGATTTTTACATAGCTGACTCCTTTCTGACGAGTAGTGTTAATCGCGTATATCACGTATACCATGACGATGAGGCTTTTTAGTAGGCTGGAGCTAATGTGTAATAGAGGCAAGGGTAGGAAGTATAGGTAGATAAACCTAAACTTCAACAATGCGCATTAGTTGGACAACTTCCCTTAGCCCCCCTCCCTCACACCCGAAATTGCCAAATCCCCCCAGGAATTCAACTGTAGTAACCACAGGTTGAACAAACATTTTGTCCTTTCTCAAGGGAACCCTCTCAGTCCGCTTTTTCTGCTGTTCGTCAATTCAACATCTTACCAAACTAAAGGTTGCTATCACAGCATTCCGGTGGTGTGCCGATAGTTATCAGTCTTTTCTAAATCTTTCCGATCATATAGATTCCAACACAGTGAGATCAATTAATTCTGTGTCAAGTATATTGCTTTCAGAAAAACTCAGTCAATATCCCTAGGATTCAACTGCCTTTAAATCTGAACATTTTTCTCAGTATTTTCAAGACATTTGAGAGGTTAAATCTGTCATATTTTTTTCCAAAATTGGGCCATTGGGCTCTTGAATTAACGCCTTGGATCTGAAAACGTCCGCACCTGCTATGACTGAAAAACCCCAAAAGAGGAATAAACTAAAAAAAGTGTTTACCTTCATCTTTGATTTGTGAAGCTCTCACTACGCTCGCGAAAACGAGGCAGGTGACAAGCAAGGAAACCGTCCTCATGGCTTTAAACAACTTGCCCTCAACACAACTGGTTAAGACTGATGAATTTGATTGCTACGTACAGAAATTCAAAATGAAATTTAAATTTGATCAAGGCGGAAAAAATAGTTTCTTTTGTTGCTCCCATTCTGGTTAAATTTTTTCTTCAGAAAACAAAGTAGGGGTCATGACATTGTATTTAATGACGCGCTCGAGCTTCGAGAATCAAGAACGTAATTTAGAATTAAAGAAAATACTTTTGTTGCAGTGGAGTATACAAGCAACTGAATGTCCAACTTGATGAAATTGCTTTATGTATTAAGAGTTGGCTAAGATTTTTAAGGTTACTGAAGACACTCTCATAAAATGAAATTTAAAAAAAAAGTATACAATTAAAAGGTCACTGCTTATGTTCTCTCCAAAGTCAAACAGTCAATGATCGTATGGGTACAAGTCGGTTTACTTCGAAATTCACTTTTGTTTCCTTCTGTGAAGTTCTTGGGTAGTACTTTTTTTGAGAATCTGTTAAAATGTGTTTATCAGTATTTTACATGGACCTTTACAGACAAAGACTTCAGACTGTGTCTGGCCATCCAAGCGAAAGAGTACTTCGCCGTGCACGGTTTGTTTTTTTAAATGACGGCAGGTTTTATATGTCGGGTCAAAAAAGAATTCACTTCATATGCTTTGATGCTCACGCTCTTTTAAGTTTTCGAGCCATTATAGTATATGTTTTACTAACTTTGGTAATAGTCTCCAACCGTATCACTTGTTCACTTGCTTTTTGTGCTAAAGTTATTTAATTTGCTGCAACGCAATCATTTTATGACTGCTGCGTTGTCTAATTTGTCTTTTGTCATATTCCACTGATGAAATTATTTTTTGTGTCAAGCCAGTCAAGCATAAGGCTAGGGTCTTGAAAACAACAATCGACAAACGCTTCAAGAACTGTATCAGTTTTTAAATTGCCGTCTCATTATCATGCCAGCACGTTCGAAACTATCGATTTATTTATTAACAATAAACTGGACGGGCAAAAATTTAGAAAAAGAAAATCTTTAGGCCGTTTCTAGGCCGACTCATTCCTGTATATAATAGCAGACCGACTGTCTGTCGGCGTTCAAATAGTACCCCGACCGACAGTCGGCTCCGTCAAACGATAGACATTCGATCGGCCGATTTAGAATCATCGGAAACATTGGATTGGCTTTGAAAACACTCGTTTTCTTATTAAGAACTGTTTATCCACACATATTTCAGATATGCTATATGTGAATATAAAATGCAGTCAATAGACTGGTTAAAACGAGACCGAAATTGAAAGTGGACAACTTTTGATTAAAAATAAATAAATGCATAAAACAAATTTAGCTACAACGTTTCGTTCTTACGACCTTCGTCAGTTTAAAATACGCAAGAGTATAGATTTTAATTCCTGCACGTCCGAAATATATAGCTGTAGGGTTGGGCTCCACCTTAGAACAAGTTGTTAAAAAAACTAACGAAACGTACAGTAGCCTTGAATGACCTAAACAATGTGACACGCCCTAAAGACAATAACAGGTGTGTTTTCAGAGGCCAATGAAAAGAGAAGTTTTGGAGAGCACTATTAAGGAGCTTAAGCAAGAACGGTCAACCGGCAAAAACGTCAAAAAGTAAACATGAGGTTTAGATTTACGACCAAATGACAACTTTGCACTGAAGTGCATCACGCTTTTTGTACTGCCAACACTACGCGACTACATCGTGGAAGTGCCTCATTTCAAGTTTTATGGAGGAGTTGAACACAAAACAACAACGTTTAGTTTCTTTTCCTGAACTTCGATACGGTCTTTTCAGTGAGAAATTAAGTTCCAGAAATAATTGAGAACATTTGACGAATTGAACGAGATAGAATAAGCGCGATACTCATGATTTGAAGCACCGCGAATTCACTCATCTAAGTGACGCTTTGTAGCCTTCGCCGTCGTCGTTGCTGCTAAAGCTCCCTAATAGTTCTCAAGTATATTATGGCCATTTATACCAGGTTAAATATGACATGTCTTACAGAAGACGCGGCTTAAATAAACTGGAACAGTACCATTTATACGAGTATGTCTTATCTAAGACGAAAACAGCTCGTATAAATGGTTCGCGTCTTATTTCTGTTCTTGACTCGTTTTCATGTGAATGTTGCCCGTAGCAACGGCGATCCAATATTTTTCCAGGAGGTCTGCTATTGCCCTCTCCTTTCATAACACCACAAAATCCTTTTCTTCAGCGGTGGACGTGTTTCGTTTTTGCCTTTGTTGGCGTGCACATTATACTTGGGCGAAGAAACAAATAAAGTTTAAAAATCTTAGAATAGATGGCAATCCAAGGAAACTGAAACGAGTTGTAATTTGTAAAAACTTTTTTGCGAGAGTAGCCTTGCGCCAGTCCGCCGCGGGGCTAGCGAAAATTTTCCCGCCAAAAATTAACGCATGCGTACTATCGTTCGCGTCTTATGTAAGACGCGAAGGTCATTTATACGAAGTTTTTCTCGTCTTTAATACGACGCGTCTTATCTAAGAACAGGTTTTAAGGGCTGTTCTAAAATAATACGCGTCTTATTTTAGACAAAATGTGTCGCTTATACGGAAAGTACGCGTCTTATGTAAGACGTGCCTTATTTTTCCTCGTATAAATGGCCCTATTAAGGCGTTTCGGATGCATGCACCTGTGATGGACGTTTTCTTCTTTGTTTTGTACTTTTTCATTTTTTAGGCTCAAATTTTGTGATTATCTTGACTTTTTTTGTTTTCTTTCTTCCACGTCGTTCGTGAGTGTTCAGGGTAATTGGCTATTGAGGTTAGAAGAAATATTGGTGCATGATCGCCAGACCTTGTGCAATTTTTGTTTTCATATCTCGTAGCCATAGAAACCGACTGCCGCCAAATTTCGATAAAATGTGTCGGAGAAATAACACAGCACGAAAAAAGAAATTTAAGTGAGCGTAATGGTGGCGTAAAGCTGGCGTAAAGTTCTCATTTACGTAACTTTACGACCCATTTACGCCACGTAAAGTCGAACTTTACGCTACCTTTACGCACATGCGTAAAGGTATCGTTAAGAGACAGTTTAAGGTCTGCGTAAAGTTGGTGTAAATGCGCATTAAAGCAGAGACTTAAACCAGCGTAATTGAAGCGTAAAGTTGGTGTAAAGATCTTATTTAGACAATCCTTTTACGCGTTAAGCGGACTTGCAAAGGAGTAGTAGCTTAAAAAATAGGGCCCCTTTCCGTTTTCAGTTTTGCATTACTATAACCAATTTTCAAATTGCCTATCTTTATTTTTACATTTCAAATCCCATGAAAATCGCCAGGTATGCTACATTGCTGTAACTGCAAAAGCTGCAAATACGAATCGCAATTCTTCAAGTGTAGTCCCGAAAAGAGTAATCGTACAAGGTTTTAAAAAACAAAACACACTGATTCTCTAAAACTGAATTTTCTAAATATAACAAGATTTATTTCTGTATTTGCATCTTTGTCATGACATTAAAAATTAAAAAAACGAAAATTTTTAGTAAGGTTTAAATAAGAAGATACAGTGTATATAAACTTTTCAAATGGGTCAAAACAGTTTTCTCAAAAAATAAAAAAAAATCATCTTAACTTAGTATTATACCAAATTAAGATGTTTTATAGTTTAAAATCATTATTAGTATTTACCTGTAAGGTACAAGAAAACCGATGAAGTCAAATTTTGATAAAAAACAGCAACTCTAACACACAAATTAATGTAAAGGTGGGTCAAAATGGTCTCTTCCAAAATGAAAATATTTAGTATAATTTAGCATAATTCAAATTAAAAGCTTAAAAAATTTTAGATAAGAAATAAAAAGACTGAAAGCCTAATACATGTATATCATTGATGGTTTCTTGACTTAGTCCTTTCACTCCCAGAAGTGTTCACAGTCAAATTTAACCAAAAAATCCAAATAACAAATCCTTTTCATAAACTGATGATGCAAAAGTTAGATGCACAAGGCTGTCACTGAAATTGCAAGTTATTAGAGAGTAAATGAAATTAGTGAGCGGGACATTGAAAGGGTGGGAAGTTGTTTATGTTTTAATAAATTATCCTTTCGTTTCCTCTCAAAATAGCAAAGTATTGGGCTCAAGGTAGCCAATTTAAAGTCTAGTTTATGGCCCTTAGTGACAGCCCTGGAACCACTTTACAAGACTAAAGCTTGTAATTAACATGTATTAATCCTGTTTGCTTTGAGAGGACTTTCTGTCACCAACATCCTATACCAGGCTGATCTGCTGAATAAATAGAAAGCAAGTATTATTTGAGTAAACTAAACAGATTTTTTGTAGGCTAGTGATAATACTTTTAATCGGCACTAAAGGCACAAGTACATGTACAGTAAGGGGGCGTTTACATGAGAAAACTTGCACTGGCGCGAGTCTCATACCGGGATGACTTTTTGATTTTGCATCGGGTTTACATTATGACTGAGTCATATCATATCTCGTTATTTGAAGGTACACTTCATGTTGATAAAATACATGTGATTCAAAATCGCAAACATTACGCATGCGCTACCTATTCCAGTCCACCGGCAGACTGATTTCACACTGAAATGGGTGGTCTTTTCCCATTTACATGATACCGCTGCGAGATTTCGTACCAGAGTGAAATTCTTGCCCCGGTACAAGAACCGGGGTGAACTCACTCTGGGGTGACTCGCACCGGCATGACATTTTGTGGTGGTATCATGTATAGATATAATATAGAGCCATGAGAGGGAACCGGAGTGAACTCGCTCTGTTGTGAAAGTCGAACCCGGTGTCATGTAAACACCCCCTAAGTTGCTAGAGGACACTGCCTGCTATTACTTAATAATATTTTTTTCTGCACTTATGGCCAAATTACTACAATCAGCGCAATTTTACTTGACAAAGGGTTCCCAACATGGCTCTTTTCATAAACCAAGACTAAAAATTTGAAAAAATGATAAGGCATTTTCCACAAGGGAACTAATAACAGAGCAAA